GGATAGCACCAATTTATGTCAGAATTTATTGTTCACAGGCAAGTATGACTTTATTCCTTGGGTCAGTGGTAGTGATCCACACATCTGAACATTGATTTTTGTCAGAGTCCTGGGCCCAGATCCCATATCATATCCTTGGTCTTCCCACCATGTAGGAAGTCTGTGCTCATTCACTGCAACTTAGTGGATGCCTGCATTTGTTCTTATCCTCTGGCCCTGTTTGTGGTCCTAGTACACCCAAAACAGTTGTCTTGTTGTGGGGCACATGTTGATTTGGCCAACATGTGCAGGGATTTCTGTTGTTGAAGGTACCCAGTGTCCTCTAGGTTACTGATGAAAGAGAACTTTAGTTCTCTTTAGTTCGAAGTTAGGCTTTACATTGAGGACTTTGAACCATTTGGGGTTGACTTTTGTGTAAGGTGAAAGATAGGGGTTTAGTTTCATTCTTCTACAGGTGGAGAACCTGTTTTGCCAGCACCATTTCCTGAACATGCTGTCTTTCCTCCAGTGAATGCTCTTGGCCCCTTTGTCAAATATCAGGTGGCTGAAATTGCATGTACTCATATTTGGGTCTTCAATTTTGTTCCATTGATATATGGGTCTATTTTTGTGCCAGTACCATGTTGTTTTTATGACTATAGCTCTGTAATACAGCTTAAAATCTGATATAGTAATCTCCCAGGTATTGCTTAGTGCTCAGGGATGCTTTGGCTATCCGAGGTCTTTTGTACTTCCATATGAATCCTAGGATGATTTTTCCAATTCTGTGAAAAATGTCATGGGAATTTTGTTTGGCATTGCATTGAATCTACAAATGGCTTTTGGTAGGATGGTCATTTTCACAATGTTAATTCTTCCAATCCATGAGCATGGGAGGTCCTTCCATCTTCTGATTTCTTCCTCAATCTATTTCTTTAAAGATTTAAAATTTTCATTAAAGAGGTATTTAATGTCTTTGGTCAGGTTTATTCTGAGATATTTTATTATTTTTGCAGCTATTATGAAGGGGAGTGTTTCCATGTGCTCTTTCTCTGATTGCTTGTTATTGGTATATAGAAAGGCTACAGACTTTTGTAGGTTAATTTTGTAACCTGCCACTTTACTGAATGTGTTAATAATTTCTGGGAGTTTTCTGGTGAATATTTGGCATCTTTCAGATATAATATCATATCTGCAAAAGGGATAATTTGATCTCTTCTTTTCCAATTATTACTCGTTTAATTTCCTGCTCTTGTATTATTGCTCTTGCAAGAGTTTCAAGCACTATGTTAAAGAGAAGTGGAGATGTGATTTTATGTATAGTGTGGTTTCCCCTACAATGGGGCAGAAAATTAAAAAGAAAATGTCCAGTATGTTGATCTTGTCACTGCTTTGTCAGTGTTTTTTCTTATTTCCTTTAGGCTTTCAGACAGATATAATCTGCTTCCTGGATTCTGCTTTCTTGGGTTGTAGTATTGGAGACTACAGGTTACCATATGCCTGTTTGGAGGAGTAATTCCACTTAGTGCTTTGATTTTGCATCTTGACTTTGGACTTAGTATAGCAGCTTGACATGCTTTCTCTCATGGTGCGAAGGTCCTCGTGTTTGTATCCAGAAGCATTAAGTAAGGAGCATTTCTGGTTTGGGTAATGCCAGAGATACTATGATAGCCTTTCTCTGGGAGTTTGTGCTGGGCTACACTTGCACTAGGGCATCGCTTCCAAACATAGGACTGAAGGCCATTGCTCATGGCTGTCTGAAGTTGGCATCTTTGAGGCTGGAGGGCCTTGGTTTTGGGACATTTGAATGCAGTGGTACTCCTTTGGAGCTGACTGGTGACTAGTGAGACATATATGAAGATGTACTTAAGGCCAGGAAGAGAGTACAAAGATACACACAGATATCACATACCCCTCACAGTTCAACCCCCTTCTCAATGAATTGTCATGATCCCCAACCACTATGAGTGGGTGTTGAAGGAGAAGTTGCTTTGGCACTGATTGCAAGGATTGATGGGCCCAGAAGGGATGACCTTGATTCTTTTCTCAAGCACTGGTTTGCTCTGTGTCCTCTTGGCAGTTTCAGTTTGTGTGGCAAGCTTTCTGTCAATTGGGAAAGTACTGTTGGGCCTAAGGGCCTAGCCAGGTGCTAGCAACTGAGCAGTATGAACCAAGCATGGTAACTCTGCCAATAGCATGCCAAGAGCAAAGGTAAGCACTATATATGCCCACATATAGAGGATGTTGGTGTCTTCCTAAATCTGAGAGGACTTACAGAAGCATCTCTAAGGTCCAGTTCCATCATATTGTAGGCCATGTCCGGAGAACATGCTTCAAATGTGCTTATTGGTGACATTGCATTGTGTTCTTCTTAATATTAGCTCAAAGTCTTGGATGTCCTCAGAATACCCACTGTCCAGCATATGTGGACCAACATGAGGTGCCTTCCAATTTGCTCATATGAATGATGACTTTCATGCAAATGATGACTTTCATGCAGAGTCTTGGATGTCCTCAGAATACCCACTGTCCAGCATATGTGGACCAACATGAGGTGCCTTCCAATTTGCTCATATGAATGATGACTTTCATGCAAATATTCCTTAACCTGAACCAAATGTGTGAAAAATTCAAGTTGGGTATGGTAGCACATACCATTAATTCCAGCACACGAGAGGCAACTAGATCTCTGTTAGATTGAATCCAACCTGGTCTACATAGTGAGTTCCAGGTGAGCTGGGGCTACACAGAGACTCTATCTCAAAAAAAGAGTGAAAACTCAATAACCATCATTTCTCATAGTGACTGAATTCTAGCATAGAAGGTCCCCTAGGTACTTGAGGTGTTAGGAAACTCTTCCTTGTTTCCCCATTCCTGCCAGCACATGAGCCATAAGCATTTTCAAACATCCCCTCCTAAGAGACCTGTAGGGCTTATTTCTTGACACAGTTGAGTGTATGAAGATAGCTAACCTCTTGTGTGAAAGGATCTCTGGTATAGCATGAACAGGAAGACAAATGCACATCTAGGGTATTCTCTGGACATGGCTGGAAACCTATAGGGCTTGAACTCCTATACATTGCCATAGAGGTCCAGACAGACAGCCCTACTGGGGAGGTTGTGTTTATTTAGCAGTTGTTTATGACTGGATCATAAGCAAGGCTGATTGATGTGATGAGAGAGAAGTAGGTGATTCTGCTTTTGAAAGCGGTTCTCTCAAACTGAAAGAAAAGGATCTTCTTTGTGGTCATCATTTTGGCCCGAACCCTAGCCCACAGGATGTATTGTTGTCAACTTACATTTTGGATTTGAGGCTGTTTGACAGTCAGGAACATGAGCAAAAGTGGAAAGATGGGGAGAGGTCCAGAGAGACATGGATTGTTCTCACCCATGCGTATGAGTGTGAGTGTGTGTGTGTATTTGTGTGTTTATGTAAGTACCTGTGCATATACAATAATGTATGTTGAAACATTTATATGAGCCATAAATAGCCTTTTGTGCACATATGAATATTAACACAAACATATGTGTATGTGCATACGTATTTCCGTATGATTCTTTGGCTTATGTGTAGTGTCATGGTTTTCCTGTTTGCTGTCAGGATCACTTTCCAAATCCTCCTGTGTGGGTATATCATCACGGTGGTGAGGCTTGCCATGAAGTTCCCTGTTCCTTTTGGTCAAGGGTTGTGAATGGTGAGCTCAATTCGCCAGGTGGTGCTTGCCTGAAAATGATAAAGTTGTGAGTTTGAGAATACGCCATCCACTCTTGCTCCCGGAACAGGTGGTTAGAGTAGTACTTTCTGTGTTCTGTGGAGCTATGAACTTCTTTAAGAACAGGGTACAGAAGGAAGAACCCAAGTTCATGTCAGACTTGATTGGCCATGGTCACAGGTATGTGTGCCTGTATTCCTTGCATCAGTGAACCCCCAATCTGCTGCATCCTGTTTAGTGACAGGTTCTTGGCACAGCTCCCATATCATTTCTTTAGACTTCCTACTGTGTGGGAGGTACTGGCTTTTTCAGTACAGTTCAGTGGGTTTGCATGCAGCTGTGGTTGTCCTCTAGGACTCTGGGGGGGGGGGTCTTGGCATGAAGAACAGGTGTGCGGTTGTGCATGACACAGTGGTTTAGGAAATGTTTTCAGAGTTTTCTGTTGTTGAAGGCATTCCATGTACATATCACCTGTGTATAACCATGGAAGAGAATTTTAGTGCTCTTGGATGCCATTCTTGTGGTAATTTCAAGGTTAACTGTCAAGGCTTCTGTGTGTAAAACATTTTCCCTGGAAGAGGGCACAAAAAATGAAAAAATGAAGGTAATAGTCCAGTGTATTGGCGTGTCAAATCCTTGTCAGGTTTTCCTCATTTCCTGTTGCTTTCAACCTGTTGCACATTTGTTTGGGATCAGAGGATTTGCTCTAGTCTCAGCTCTCATGATATCCTTGGACTTCCTACCAAATGGAAGATCATAGCTCTTTCCGTACAGTGGAGAGGGCTTAAATACAATGGAGATGTTCCTCTAGTTTCTTGCAAGTCCTAGGCACACTGACATATGCAGGCTTTTAAAGACTGGAAAGCCACCTGTCAGATTTTGTTTCTGCTTTCTTAGTGACTTACTATTTTTTAGTTGAATGTAATTATCCTGATGTTGTTAACATTTGTATCTCTTATGTGTATGAATCTTGGCTAATAGGGTTTTTTTTGTATTTCTTTTTTTTTGTTGTTTTTTTTTCCTTCTTAACCTCAGGCAAGTAGATACAAACACACACACACACACATGCACACACAGACAGACAGACACACACACACACACACACACACACACACAGGCCCCCACTCATACAATCCTTTGTCTATCATGTCCCAAATGACTAAATCACTGTCTTTCTTAAAACCCCTTCCCCTGGCTATATTGGGATAGTTGGTGTTACTCTTTTTACATGTACCAATTTGTCATTGATGCCATTTTCTGTGTTACTATTACTTTTCTCCAGCTTGTGTTTCCTTTATTCCTATACAGGGTATTTTTGTTTTGCTTCATTCCTTTAGCCATGATGGTATTGTGATTCTTTGTGGAGATGGAGAAGGAGATGAGGAGGTAGAAGAACGTGCTCCCTTTTTAAGCATATCCTGGAGCAACATGTTCAGTATTACTTTTTCTGAGATGTTGCCCACTCTATAATCTTGGTATGCATGCAAGAACTTTCATGTCCAGGAACCTGAATATTTGGCCATGTTCCACATCTATATTGCTATGGTAGGTATAACTTCCTGATGAGTGTGGCCCTGCATTTTCATAGATGTTGATGTTCTTTGAGTTTTGATACACCATTTCACCAGCATGTTTTGACCACCTTATCCTACCTTCTAATGTGCTTGGATCGATGATGACTCAAACAAAAGCACTCCTTGGGAAGCTGAACAAAATGAGTGAAAACTCACTATGGCCATTCTCATCGTGACTGAGGTCCAGCACAGAAGGTCATGGCAAATCTTCCTAGTTTTCTCATTTGTTTAATCACATAGGGGTTTAACATTTTCCAACCTCCCCCTCCTAAAGGGGTATTTGGAAATTTATTTGCTAATTTTTGTGCATGGCTAGGAGATTGCTTGGTTGCAATGTTTTGTTTGGGGGCCTAGTAGTACTATACTGTAATCAGAAAAACTTGTAGTAAGAGCAGGTGATTATTCAATGTTCTATCTATGCTTGGTGAACTGAATTACTATTGCTAAACTAAGTACCTATATACTTAACACAGAGGATTCCAGTTGTAGTACTTGTATCCATTTTCCTAATGACAGAAAATGAGCACTATGATGAAGATCGCTAATTGATAGGAAGTGTCAGTGGCTATGGCATGGTCAATGGTGATTGGTTGGTAGAAGGGAGGAATGGGTAACTGTGCTCTGTGCCTTCAATTCAGCCTTCACGTAGATTCTATTCTGTTTTGACCACCTGCAGGCAGGATGTGTTAATATCTACCTCTACTCTGAACTTGAGGCTTTGGTGGAAAAGAGAACCAGATACAGATGCGAAAAGCTGCTGCCTGATTTTGTTTTTTCTGGAATAGATCTATTTATATTACGTAAGTATGTATATGTATGTGTGCTTCAACTTTTTTCTTGTGGGGTACTGCCAAGGACATTCGTGAGGTTTATCCATATACCCTATTTTGTAGAATTTTTGGTTCCTGGTGATAACAATTTCACTGATGTTCCACATTCTGATTTTAGCAAGGTGTGAGATCAGCTTACTCACTGGATTTATTGTTGTACCTGATAACATTCTGTGAGAATTATCTTGAAAAATGGCCATCAATATTTTCCTCTTACTGAGTACACTACAAAGTGTCTCTCTTTTCTGTCTTATAATCAATTGGGTTTCTTTAATGATACTGTAAATAAAGAAAAGCTTTAGACTCCTAGCCAAGTTAACATAGGAAGGACACATTTATGTCTGTGTCTGTGTTTATGTATTCAGTTATAGGTTTGAAGGACTAAATATCTAAAAGTCTGACTGGGCTGCTAAGAAAAAACTCAAGTGCCTAATTTCCCCCTCCTTTGGCCAGAGGCAAACGCCTGAAGACTTTTTCTCCTGCTGGCAAGGTCCCCTTCTGCCTGACCAGTCCCTACCAGCTCAGATGAGACCAAGGCCAGTCCTGGACATATCTCAGCTTGGAGCTGTGACCTATCAGCTTTCTCTTCTTTATTTAGTTGACCAATACAAAATTAGGGAAAAGATACCTGTCCTGTGTAAACTAAGAATATTTAAAGTATCCAGGGCTCACCTAGAGGCTTTTGATTTTTTAGTTTCTGAATCCTTTCTTCACGTGTAGAGTGATTTTTCTCTCTGACAACATATGTGTGTACTTCTTTTCTTACACCAAAGTTTGTTACCTACTGCTTTCTTCCATCTTTGAGATATTTTCCTGCCTTTTATTTGTTTTTTGGCAGAGAAAATGAATGCTGTCTGAATAGGAAAACTGAACTAATCATGAAGAAAATTAAAATAAGAGAAACCCAGAGCACCTAACCTGAGAAAACAGTTTCTGCTTATTAGCCCTTGTGGCTTAAGAAAATAAATCCTAGTTCAACTAGGGAACCAGTCTTCTTGTTTGCTGGAGGAATCAGGTGTATAATCTTTGATTTTAGTTCTGTAAACACACTGTCTTCTTGGAATCCCAACTTATGACCCACTACCCCTTCTATGGCATGTAGTTGGAAAGCCCTGTGCGTGGCCCTGGACACATAGTCTTAAAGGCCCCAAGACCCCAATACCCACCAATGCCTTGGTGAGTCTGAAATGATGCTAAATTGTCTGTAGATACTGGCAAAGGAGTGTGCCTATTGCTCTGGCTTTGGAGATTACTTCCCTGAGTCTGCTGTTGGCAGGAACAGGAATAAATGCTCTGACTTCCCACTTTGTCTCCAGGTGTCTGATGTGAATGCAGCAGTTCCTGTTGTAGCACTTCCATAGCCAGAAACAGACTCACCCATTGTGGCAGGTGCTGTGGCATCTTTCTCTTGGTTGGAAGCACAGCTTTCCACAAGTCTCTTCCATTGATGTGTCTGGACTGTTTCATGATTTCTAGAGCATTTAGGGGTTTCCTGTATAAAGGAATGGTGTGGTTTCCTCACATATGGGTTTGTGAGTAAGGCCCAGTGACTGTTGCTATGCATTGTGGAACTCATATATGCATATTCTTTGATCTGTATCATGGAGTTTGTGGGTTTACTTGTCAGGGTTAATGGTCAGAATAAATTGTGTATTGTGAAATTATTTGAGTTGCGGGAGATATCAACCCAATCCTTTGGTCATGACCAAGGCCAGGGCAATGACAGTGTCTTTATTTCTTCCTGACTTTCAGTTTATCACACATCTTCTTTGACAACTGAAATTCTTTGTACCAGGTACTAAGCAGAACTGCATCAAGTTTATTTGGTTGCCAGTGAACTATAAACAGATTTCCTTCAGTTTCTATTGCTGGGTTTACTTACTGTTGGCTTTCACATGTTGTAAAAGGTACAGTTCAACTGACGACAGTTTCTAAAGACAGGTCTGGATGTTGATAACCTACTCCTTAAAGATGGGGAAATGGCTTTGTGGTTAAGAGCACTAGCTGCTCTTGCAACAGACCCCGGGCTCGTTCCCAGCCCCCACATGGTGTCTAGCAGTCATACAACTCTACTTCCCGGGGATTCTAAGGCCCTCTTTTGACCTCCATGGTCAGAAGACATTACATAACATAAATATACATAAACACATGCAGGAAATACAGTCATACACATAAAATAAAAATAATCAATAAAATATTTCTAATGATGTCCTAAATCTAAAGAGAATATGGTTTTTCCTCTTCATTTTTGTAGTAACTGAAACAAATATAAAAAATACTGAAAAGTAGGGGACTGGCTGATGGCTCAGCTATTAGTAGCATGTACAGCTCTTCCAGAGGACCTGAGTTGATTTCCCAACAACCACATCAGGTCCCTGCCAACAACTATAATTCTAGCTCCTAAGGATCTGACTCCCCTGGTCTCTGTGGGCTCTAGTATTCAGGTGCACATACATAAACACACACACACACACACACACACACACTATGGAGGCAGAGGCAGAGGCAGGTGGATATCTGTATAATCAAAACCACACTGTGCACACACACACACACACACACACACACACTATGGAGGCAGAGGCAGAGGCAGGTGGATCTCTGTAAAATCAAGGCCAGCCTGGTCTAAGTTTCAGACCAGCTAGGGCTCGAGGGAGACCCTGTCTAAAATATTTTTAACATCAATTAATAAAAAGAACTTTGAAAACATCATGAAAAGTAGGCATTGTGTGTGGAGTCTTCATAGTGTGCTTTCCTTGCCAGCCTCTAGGATTGTAGTATTATTCCTTTAGGGTTGTTCATATCAGCTGAGAGCAGTTTTACATACTGGGCTTTATGTGAAAGTTTGTTTCCTCTCCTTGACATGTGAAAGGAACCCACTTTGCCAGATTCACATGCTGCATTAGACATCTGTAGGTGCAAAATGTTTAAATTTCTAGCTCTTATTTTTATGTGCATTTTCTTGGTTGCCTTTCCATACTCTCTGTAAGTTCCCAATATATTTAAAGATAGGTTGTAGTTGTAATAAATGCATTGTGTTTGGCATGCTAGAAATTATGAAGCCAATATTTTAGAAAATATTTGTTTAATACTGTATTCAAAGAAGTGTGTTGATTGTTCTCATGATATAGAAAATTTAGCAAATATCTAATAAGTAACTTATAATAACTTGTTACTAAACATTTCATTAGGGAAGTTTAGCTTCCCAGATCCTTAATATCCCTTGTGCTTTGTAGACTAGAATGATGTTGATGAGAAGTTTTGCCCTAACACCAAGGAAGGGCTGTTTGGGGGACTTTTACCAGTTTCTACATCTGGGAAAGGAAAAAAATGATGCATGTTGGAGGTTAAAACCAATTTTTATCTATTTTATATAGTAATGAGTATAATACCTGCATGTAGATGGGTGTGCCCAATAAGAATGCATGTGGAGTCAGAAGAGGGTATCAGATACCCTGGACCTATAGTCACAGATAGTTGTTAGCCACAATGTGGGTGCTGGGAATTGAACCCAGTCCTCTGCAAGAGCAGCCAGTGCTTTTACCCTCTGATCTATCTGTCCATCCTGGAAACCAATTTTAAATAAATATTTTTCTAGGTTATTTTTATTGTTATGAAAATTTAGAATCTCCAAAATCTTTTAATCAAAACAATGTATGACTATGTAATAATCTTGTAAGTTGGTCAGGAACAATGACTCAGTGAGTAAAGTGATGGTTGTACATGTATGAGCACCATGAGTTCTTGTTCCTGGCAACTACATTAAAAGAAGCCAAGCATGACAATGCATGCCTGTGACTCCAGCTGGGGCAGGGCCAGGAAAAGGATAGAAACAGGTAGATCCTGAGACCTTACTGGCCACTGGTCTAGCCCAGTTTTGGTAAGAGACCCTATCCTAAAAAAATAATGTGAAGAATATAATCGTGCAAGCACTAAGAGTAGTCCCAAATTACATAAAGAAAAGCCTTAGCTGATTGAAGGGATAATAGATAATTTAAGTTAAACCTAGTTTAACTGTTGTCTTCATACCATCTTAACAACTACTGTCAGTATAGTTGAGCAGATAATGATTGAGTTATTGCACATTTTACCTAGATGTGTATGTATGTACATGTCTGCATGTGAGCGTGCGTGTATATATTTGTGTTTAGAGAATATTAGAAGAGGGAACAGAGAGAAAGAGACAGTAGTCACTCCACTAATAACAGAATACAAATTACATATTAGACCCTAAAATATTTGCTCAGTAAATTTAAGAAGATGACCATCACATTTAGGGTGTCCTAAGACCAATAGGGAAATTAGAAATTAAAACAGAAATAAGTTAGAAATTGTCAAATATTTGGAAGTTACCACATTTTCTAGAACCCATGAGTCAAAGATGAAGTCTTTTAAAAGAAACTATAAAATATGTTGTGCTGCAATTCAACTAAAGACAAGGCTTAAGGAAATATCTAGCTTTAAGGATCTATATCAGACAAGAGATAGCCAAATAAATAATCTAAATTTCCACCTAAAAAAAGTAGGAAAAAAAATTGAATCCCAAAGCAAATGACACATATTTGAGCAAGAACCAATGGCATAAAGAAAAAGCATAGAGAAAATCTATGAAATCAAAAGCTTTTGCAAAAAATGAATAAAATTGTAAAACATTTTGCTACAGTGATAAAAATCACTAAAATCAGGAATGAAGAGGAGGCATTACACTGATCCTGTGGCTTTTACCAGGAATACTAATGTCTGCTGCTTTGAGTTTATTCAAAGCACTATGGAGGAAAACAAAGTTTTGAATTTCCACTTAAAACTCAGCCACCCAGGCTGATTTTTTAGTTCTCCTTGCCATCAGTGCTCATCCTTACGACTTTCAGAAGATCCTTCAACAGCTTATTACTGACTCTAAACTCACCTCTTTGGATTTTTTTTTTTACAGTTTTATAACTTTGAGTCTTTTTTTTGCAGTTTTATAACATTTTTGAGTCTTTTTTTTAACTTGTTGTTAACTTAATCTGCTTCTGGAAGCCTCTCTCCATGAATATTGACGACACTGTGAATCCCCCAATTTTTCCATACCATTACACTGTAGGATTTTTAAAATATATTTTTATTAATTCTTTGAGAATTTGATACATTATTTTGATTATTTTCTCTTTCCTTCTCTCAACTGTATCCTCCCCAGATCCACCTTCTTTCCTGATCACTCAACTTTTGTGGCCTCATTTTAAAAAGCAACATTGAATCCAGTTTCTGTTACCTATATGCTCTTGGGTTTCTAGCCATCCACTGGAGCATGGTCTACATTCCATGAGACACACTTAAATAAAACTAACTCTCCCTCTTCCAGCAGCTATCAATTGCCAGTGGTTAGTCAGCTAGGGGTAGAACTTTGTGCTCACATTTCCCCTACATGCTTGGATTTTGTCTGTCTAGAGCTTGAGCAGATCATGTGTATGTTGTCACAACCACAGTGAGTTCCTATCTACAAATGCCCTGTTGTGTGCAGAAAATACTGTTTCATTTTAGTCATCCACCATGTCTGGCTATTACCTCCTTTCTACCCCCTCTTCCATGATGATCCCTGAACTCTGGAAGGAGGGCCGTGATATAGATGTCTCATTTAAGGCCAAGGACTCCATAGTCTCTTATTCTCTACATATTGACCAGTTGTAGTTCTCTGTGTTAATCCCCATCTAATATGCTGACTCAAAAACATAACTCTCACCTCAAAGGGGATAAGAGCTAGTTTATTCTGGAACCAAATTATGAGTAACCGTGGCCCGGGAACACAGATCCAGGTTACACCAAATTCCATGTCCTGGCACGGCAACATTGACATTGCGTTTTTATAGTAACAGAACAAAGAAAATCATAAAGACACCTTTTAAATACGCTGGTGGATATATTCGGTAGACAGATCATAGCAAAGCCAGGGGTGGGGGGTGTTATACTATAGGTACTATGGTCTCAGATTTTATCTGATGACATTCTGAGCTTTTGGACCAGTGAGAGACCTGATGGTCTGCTAAGTTAATAGATTTTATTAGTCACAAGTATGTTAATTGAGAAACAGAGGTAGGCAAGGTATGGCTATTTATGGGGTTAAAGCTATCCCCAGATGATTTGGGAATAGGCTCTGGATCTGCAACACTCAAAACTCTCCACAATCTCTGGAGTGCTAATCAGTTGGTCAGTCTTGCTGGAAATTTACTCCAAAATGCAGAAATTCTTTCTGGAAACTTTCTTTCACAGATACAAGAATAGAATTTATAATGATAAGTAATTAGGACTCTGTTTAAAGTATGTCAATTTAGAGTAATAGTAGTAGATTTTTTTCCCTTAGAACATATGACAGGTTCCTGCCTCCAATGATAATACCAGGTGTGGGTTCAATCTCGTGGAGAAGGCTTTAAATCCAATCACATATGAACCTCTAGATCTCCTGCCTGCTGGCTTTAAATATACCAACCAAAACTCCTGAAGAACAACTGCTTTGAAAACATCCTGGACCCAGCTCTTTGTCTTCCCCCAAGCCTCCTGCTGTCTTTCTCCTTTCTTGTCCTTCCTTTCCTCTCTCAGTGTACTAACTGATCTCTTTGGTTTGCCATGTTCTCCCCAGGAGTTATACATAAAATCTTTGTTTCTATCTTTGTCTTTACTAATAACTAAAGGGGTGTTCTCCCTCTTAAAGTTCATAAATTAAAAGTGAAAAGAATGGAAAGGTGATAGAGTTCATGGCAAACTAGAACAGCATGTGCATGTACTCCTTACCTATTTATTTTTTGCATTACTCTACAACATATACTTGCAACATAACTGATATACTCACAAATAAAAATTAATCCTTAAATTTAATCCTTAAAGAGCCCTAGCAGTTGGCACTGCTATGCCAAGACTCTTGTGCCTTGATCACTGGCTAAATCTTTGCCTGTGGTCTTTGTCTCCTTCTCAGGGGCAGTTGCCCTGATGTGCCCACAGCAGTGCAGCCAGTGGCAGGGGTCGTTGCATAAGGGCTGAGGCCCCGGATAGGGCATCTGGGAGTCTGGAGCAGGGTCCCTCGCCCCCACCCAATGGACCACCGAGGATTAAGGTAAGACTTCAGCTCCCTGGGGTTCTGGTGATATTCTTATCTGGTGCAGTCTTGAGCACCTACAAGTCCATGGTCCTCTCATGTGAACTGTGGCTGACCGATCTGTGTGCTGACAGGTCAGCAACTCACACTGGTCCTGAGCTCTGCTGTGCACTGTGGGTTTTGCGGGCAACCACTCCGGCTACCATGGAGTGCCTGCGCTTAGCATGTTCTTGCTTCCCTGGGCCCAGGCAATTGTTTCCCTTGTTGAGTCATGTGCCTGGATTGGACGATAGAGTGGAGAGGACACATGGGGTTCCTTTCGGTTGAATGGCCAGAGCCAGGCAATGGTTCTGAGAACTAGGCTGGCATAGGGGCTGGAAGCAGGGCCAGGACACATCAGGAGGGGGCCTAGGAGCATGGTCTTTGTCTCCTCAGGGGCAGGTAGGGTATGATCCCTGGATGGGCTACTCCTTGGCCTTGGTACCTGTGTTGTCCCCAGCGATAGCCCGAGTGATTGGCTGGAGGGAAGAGCCAGCCGATGCTGCAGGCCCAGCTCCTCTTTCCCCTTGGGCTAGGTGGACCAGTTCAAATGCCCCCCACTGGACCCAATGTGGATCGAATGTGCTCCCAAACAGCTCCAGAGGCTAGAGACCTGGGTGAGAATGTCAGACAGGAGCCCTGTGTCCCAAAGGGTGGATTGCAGAGCGCTGGAAGGATTTCCCTCCTGTACACCAATCCTCATGACTGTGGAGGTGTTAGTGCTTGAAGGACACATGGTGGACATGGCCAGTCATGTCTATCTACAAGTTGGTATGGCTCTAGGAGTCCTTTTACACATGCAGCCTCAGTGTGGTCATGGACTTGCCTCCATGACCACTTGGAGTGGTTATCTGGGCTAGAGGGTCCCCTTCTTGCTGCAGGGGGTTCAGCAGAATGAATATGGGGACTGTAGGCTCCAGGATCAGGTACTGATAGCCTCTCTCCCCTGAGTGGCCACCCAGAGACAGGACTTCCCTCTTGGGCCAGTCTCCACTTAGTCCTCTTCCCCAGGCTGATGGTTTTTCTGACCTTGTAAGGGAAGAGAGGCCTCATTGCTGGGTTTGGGCCACCCCCGCCGACAGCAATGCCCTCCAGTTCCCGTTCCACACCCAGCCGAGTGGCCAGTGAACCGAGGATTTTGGCTACCACTTTGGTGTCCACGTGGCTTCCGTGCCACACAGGGTGTTTTTTGTTGGCACCAGCTTTAGCCCGGTGCCTCCCCTCTTGGAGATTTAGAGTCTTAGCAGAGTGCTTCCCAGGTTATTGGAATTTGTTGTGCTGGCCTGATCAGGTGACCTTTGGAGGAAAGTGATCCTTGGCTCCTGGTAGAGGATGGAGGGTTTTCAGGAGAGGTCAGCAGGTCCTGGCTGAGGTGAGGAAGAATGTGCTCTCTGGCCATTGGGCCCCAGGGCAGGAAGGAATCTGGTATGCGACAACATGCTTGTGGGAGGCCAGAGGGCAGGGATTCTGTGGTTGTGTGGCATGCTGGAGGCTTGGAGAGCTGTAGTTGCAGGAATTGCACTGTCCACCCAGGCAGTCGGCACTGTGATACCAAGACCCTTGTTGGTCGATGCTAACACTTTGCCTGTGGTCTTTGCCTTATTCTCAGGGGCAGTTTCCATGGACAACTTGCCCATAGTGGTGCAGTCCATGGAGGAGGACAGTCTCTGAAGGACAGAGGCCCCTGATAGGGCGTCCAGGAGTCTGGTGGACTTGCTCCCTGAATGGACCGCTGAGGATGATGATAAGCCTTCAGCTCCCCGGGGTGCTCTGGTGCAGTCATGAGCACCTACAAGTCCAAGGTGCAGTCCACCTTGGGCCAAGTACCCATCAGTGTGCCTGGAGAGTCAGTTGTTCAGCTGCTTGTTAGTGTTCCTGAAAGCTGTCAGTCTTACATGTCCTCACCATGCACCCACACACACCAGGGGCCACTGGCCATGTCTATGGCACCACACAGCACCCCCAATGTGCTCGAATTGATGGTGATTCCAAATCAGTCATTCCTTGGAAAGCTGAACAAAGTAAATAAAAATGCCCCACTATCGCTCTGGTCATGACTGAGGTTCAGGCACACCTTCCTTCCAGGAGTCTCAAAATTCAGTCCAGAGGCTATGTTGAGTGTGCTCTTAGCCCAGTCTCCTTCCCAGGGGTCAAGTGCTTCCTCCCTAGCTAGGTTGTACGACTGAAGGGCAAAGGAGGAGGGAAGAGGATCCAGTTGACTGTGCAGGGCCAGACAAGGGTGCTGAGAACTAGGCTGGCATGAGGGCCAGGGCAGCTCCCAGCCAGAGGTAGGGCCAGGATAGGTCCAGGAGGGTCTCAGCTATGATTGCCCAGGCCCACCCAAGGGATATGTGGACCAGTTCAGATGAACCCCTCTTGATCCAGCAGGGATAGAAGGCAATCTGAACACCAGGATGGAGGCTAGGGGCCTGGGTGAGAATGTCAACTGGGGTTCTCGTGAGCCAAGAGGTGGATTGCAGAGCACTGGGAGCTGTTCCCTTTGTGGGTGCTGGTCTTCATGAGTGTGGAGGTGTCCATCTTTGATGGACATGAGGTGGACATGGCCAGACTTGCTGATATACCTGCTGGTAGACCTCTAGTCTTCTCTATAGACATGCAGTCACTGTGTGGTCACCTGCTTGCCATGGATCTGCCGAGCCTTGGTGAAGCCTCCAGTTGGAGTCTGGCAGTCTGAGGAGCATTTTCTGGTTGTAGTATCCCCTTCTTCGGCCAGGCCAGGCTGTTCAGCAGGTTGATCCTGGCAACCATAGGCCCCAAGTGCTGGTAATGATTGCCATGTATCTGGTGCAGTGTCCATTCACAGAAAGGGCTTCCCTCTAGGGTGCATCTCCGTATGGGCCCACTCCTGGGTTTTTTTCCCTACATTCCCCTTCCCCAGGCTGACTGTCTGCGACCATGTCAGGGAGGAGAGGCCTAGTTATGGGTTGGCGTCCACTGGGGCCCACACCAGTGCCTTCCAGTCCACAACACGGTGGTGGGTGAACTCAGGCTGACTGCCAAGCTATCTGTGTCCATGTGTCTCCCTATACACATGGTTCTGGTTAGCCAGGCCCTCTGCTCTGGGAGATTTGGTGTCTTAGCAGAGTGGCTTCTGAGGTTTTTGGGATGCTGCTGGCCGAGGTGGGCCCACACAGAGCCTGGTCAAAGGACCCTTGGGGGAAACTTGTCCTTGGCTCCCAGTAGAGCTCAGAGCATTTTCTGGAGAGGTCAGGTGCTGGGGCTCAGGCCAGGGAGACCCTGCTCCCTAACCTGTTGAGCTCCTTAGTGGGAAGAAATCTTGTATGCGCCACCATGTTTGCTGGAGGCAAGAGGCAGGAAGGTGGTGGTTGTACTGCATGCTCCAGGTGCTGAGAGCAGCAGAAGCATCTCGATTTTGGGGGTTCTCACTGCTTGGCCTGACATTCTTTGAAGAGTGAGATTACTGTGTGGAGTCTGGGAGCCCTAGGCAGGTCACTGTGTCTGGTCTTGGGGCAGGAAGGGTATCCAGTTGCTTGCCTGGGTGCCCATGCCCTGAGCTGAGTCAAGTGGAGAGTGTTGTTGTCCTGGATGTTCTGTCCTGCTCCTGAAGCTGTGTAAAGTGTTTCTGGGACACCATTTAGGGTTGGAATCCTGTTGGAATCCACTCGGGCCTTTGGGGTGGAGGACAGATTTCACAAGTCCTTTATGGCTGGCCCATTAGGAGGTGGCCCATTACTGGCAAGATATGCGGAGTGCAGAGTCAGCGAGGGCCTCCTTGACAGGACCAAGGGGCCAGGGAAGGAGACAGGCAAGGCACAGACACGGCCCTGGGCCCCACACCAATTTCTGGGGGAGAACACAATGGCAGGGGCCATGGATGATCTGGAAACCTCAGTTGCGGGTGGACAAGTAGGCAGAGTGGGGCAGGAGTGCTGCAGTTACAGGAGTTGCATCGTCCATCCAGGCAGCTGGCACTTAGATGCCAAGACCTTCGTGTCTTGGTCGCTTGCTAAAAGCTTTGCATGTGGTCTTTGTCTTCTTCTCAGGCGCAGTTTCCATGGGCGACATGCCCACAGTGGTCCAGCCCATGGTGGGGGTGGAGGGGTGGGGGGGTGGCAATCGCAGAATGGCAGTGGCCCCTAAATAGAGCTTCTGGGATTCTGGCACAGGGTCACATGTTCACCCCCCCCAAGACATTAAGCCTTAAGCTGCCTGAGGTGCTCCTCATGATATTCTCATCTGGTTCAATCAAGAGCACCTGCAAGTCCATGATCCAGTCTACTTAGGGCTGTGATTGACCCAATCAGTGTACCTGGCAGTTGCATAAGACCACCATTAGGGACTGCCACTAGGGTCTCTCCTATAGATGGGCTACTCTTTTACCTTGGTTCCTGTGTTTGCCCTGTGTTGGGGCAGGAGTGATTGGTTGGAAAGAAGTACCAGGGGCAGTGTTGGTGCAGGCCAAGCTGGCAGGGGTCCTTCCCTTACATGGACCAGTTCAGATGGCCCCCACTAGAGGTCTGATACTGAGCTGGAGCATAGATGCCTAGGAGGGATTTCAGTAGAGGTCAGGGGTTTGTGGCAGAGTTGAGGTAGACCATGCTCCCTGGCCTGTTTGGCCCTGTTTAGGGCCCTGATTTGTTATGTGTGCTACCATGTTTGGAGGTAGCAAGAGGCAAGAATGTTGTGTTTATGTGGCATGCTGGAGGCATGGAGAGTTTCAGGAGCATCTTGGTTTCCAGGCATCTATCTCCTTTGTGTGGCCTGACATTCTTTGAAGAACCTGTGTTGTGTCAGGGATCCCTAGGCAGGATGCCTTGTTTTGGGGAGAACACAATGCTAGCCCCCACCTCTGACCTGAAAACACTGGTTTCAGGTGACTGAGTGGGTGAAATAGACAGAAGAGTTGATGTTGCAGGAGTTGCACTGTCTGCCTGGGCAGTTTAGACTGTGAAACCAAGAATCTTGTGTCTTGGTCTCTCACTAAAGTACACATCTAGGTACATCTCTGGGCATGGCTGGAAACTTGTAGGGCTTGAACTCCTACACATTGCAATTGAGGTCCAGGCAGAGAGCCCTATTGAGGAGGTTGTATTTGCCTACAAGTTGTTTGTGACTGGGTCATGAACTAGACTCATTGTGTGATGGGAGAGAAACAGGTGACTCTGCTTTCGAAAACCCTTTCCTCAGACTGTAAGAAATGAGCCTCCCTGTGTTCAGCTTTTTTGTCTGCACCCCTAGCCCACAGGATGTATTATTGTCAACTTACATTTTGGACTTGAGGCTGTTTGAGAGTCAGAGACATGAGCAAAAGTGGAAAGATGGGGAGAGGTCCAGAGAGATATGGATTGTTCTCACCCATGCGTATGAGTGTGAGTGTGTGTGTGTATGTGTGTGTTTATGTAAGTACCTATGCATATACAATAATGTATTTTGAAACATTTATATGAGCCATAAATAGCCTTTTGTGCACATATGAATATTAACACAAACATATGTGTATGTGCATACGTATTTCCGTATGATTCTTTGGCTTATGTGTAGTGTCATGGTTTTCCTGTTTGCTGTCAGGATCACTTTCCAAATCCTCCTGTGTGGGTATATCATCACGGTGGTGAGGCTTGCCATGAAGTTCCCTGTTCCTTTTGGTCAAGGGTTGTGAATGGTGAGCTCAATTCGCCAGGTGGTGCTTGCCTGAAAATGATAAAGTTGTGAGTTTGAGAATACGCCATCCACTCTTGCTCCCGGAACAGGTGGTTAGAGTAGTACTTTCTGTGTTCTGTGGAGCTATGAACTTCTTTAAGAACAGGGTACAGAAGGAAGAACCCAAGTTCATGTCAGACTTGATTGGCCATGGTCACAGGTATGTGTGCCTGTATTCCTTGCATCAGTGAACCCCCAATCTGCTGCATCCTGTTTAGTGACAGGTTCTTGGCACAGCTCCCATATCATTTCTTTAGACTTCCTACTGTGTGGGAGGTACTGGCTTTTTCAGTACAGTTCAGTGGGTTTGCATGCAGCTGTGGTTGTCCTCTAGGACTCTGGGGGGGGGGGTCTTGGCATGAAGAACAGGTGTGCGGTTGTGCATGACACAGTGGTTTAGGAAATGTTTTCAGAGTTTTCTGTTGTTGAAGGCATTCCATGTACATATCACCTGTGTATAACCATGGAAGAGAATTTTAGTGCTCTTGGATGCCATTCTTGTGGTAATTTCAAGGTTAACTGTCAAGGCTTCTGTGTGTAAAACATTTTCCCTGGAAGAGGGCACAAAAAATGAAAAAATGAAGGTAATAGTCCAGTGTATTGGCGTGTCAAATCCTTGTCAGGTTTTCCTCATTTCCTGTTGCTTTCAACCTGTTGCACATTTGTTTGGGATCAGAGGATTTGCTCTAGTCTCAGCTCTCATGATATCCTTGGACTTCCTACCAAATGGAAGATCATAGCTCTTTCCGTACAGTGGAGAGGGCTTAAATACAATGGAGATGTTCCTCTAGTTTCTTGCAAGTCCTAGGCACACTGACATATGCAGGCTTTTAAAGACTGGAAAGCCACCTGTCAGATTTTGTTTCTGCTTTCTTAGTGACTTACTATTTTTTAGTTGAATGTAATTATCCTGATGTTGTTAACATTTGTATCTCTTATGTGTATGAATCTTGGCTAATAGGGTTTTTTTTGTATTTCTTTTTTTTTGTTGTTTTTTTTTCCTTCTTAACCTCAGGCAAGCAAGTAGATACAAACACACACGCACACATACATGCACACACAGACAGACAGACACACATACACACACACACACACACACACACACACAGGCCCCCACTCATACAATCCTTTGTCTATCATGTCCCAAATGACTAAATCACTGTCTTTCTTAAAACCCCTTCCCCTGGCTATATTGGGATAGTTGGTGTTACTCTTTTTACATGTACCAATTTGTCATTGATGCCATTTTCTGTGTTACTATTACTTTTCTCCAGCTTGTGTTTCCTTTATTCCTATACAGGGTATTTTTGTTTTGCTTCATTCCTTTAGCCATGATGGTATTGTGATTCTTTGTGGAGATGGAGAAGGAGATGAGGAGGTAGAAGAACGTGCTCCCTTTTTAAGCATATCCTGGAGCAACATGTTCAGTATTACTTTTTCTGAGATGTTGCCCACTCTATAATCTTGGTATGCATGCAAGAACTTTCATGTCCAGGAACCTGAATATTTGGCCATGTTCCACATCTATATTGCTATGGTAGGTATAACTTCCTGATGAGTGTGGCCCTGCATTTTCATAGATGCTGATGTTCTTTGAGTTTTGATACACCATTTCACCAGCATGTTTTGACCACCTTATCCTACCTTCTAATGTGCTTGGATCGATGATGACTCAAACAAAAGCACTCCTTGGGAAGCTGAACAAAATGAGTGAAAACTCACTATGGCCATTCTCATCGTGACTGAGGTCCAGCACAGAAGGTCATGGCAAATCTTCCTAGTTTTCTCATTTGTTTAATTACATAGGGGATTAACATTTTCCAATCTCCCCCTCCTAAAGGGGTATTTGGAAATTTGTTTGCTAAATTTTTTGTGCATGGCTAGGAGATTGCTTGGTTGCAATGTTTTGTTTGGGGGACTAGCAGTACTATACTGTAATCAGAAAAACTTGTAGTAAGAGCAGGTGAATATTCAATGTTCTATCTATGCTTGGTGAACTGAATTACCATTGCTAAACTAGGTACCTATATACTTAACACATGGGATTCCAGTCATAGTACTTGTGACCATTTTCCTAATGACAGAAAATGAGCACTATAATGAAGACCCCTAATTGACAGGAAGTGTCAGTGGCTATGGAAAGGTCAATGGTGATTGGTTGGTAGAAGGGAGGAATAGGTAACTGTGCTCTGTGCCTTCAATACAGCCTTCACATAGATTCTATTCTGTTTTGACCACCTGCAGGCAGGATGTGTTAATATCTACCTCTACTCTGAACTTGAGGCTTTGGTGGAAAAGAGAACCAGATACAGATGCGGAAAGCTACTGCCTGAATTTTTGGTTCCTGGTGATAACAATTTCACTGATGTTCCACATTCTGATTTTAGCAAGGTGTGAGATCAGCTTACTCACTGGATTTATTGTTGTACCTGATAACATTCTGTGAGAATTATCTTGAAAAATGGCCATCAATATTTTCCTCTTACTGAGTACACTACAAAGTGTCTCTCTTTTCTGTCTTATAATCAATTGGGTTTCTTTAATGATACTGTAAATAAAGAAAAGCTTTAGACTCCTAGCCAAGTTAACATAGGAAGGACACATTTATGTCTGTGTCTGTGTTTATGTATTCAGTTATAGGTTTGAAGGACTAAATATCTAAAAGTCTGACTGGGCTGCTAAGAAAAAACTCAAGTGCCTAATTTCCCCCTCCTTTGGCCAGAGGCAAACGCCTGAAGACTTTTTCTCCTGCTGGCAAGGTCCCCTTCTGCCTGACCAGTCCCTACCAGCTCAGATGAGACCAAGGCCAGTCCTGGACATATCTCAGCTTGGAGCTGTGACCTATCAGCTTTCTCTTCTTTATTTAGTTGACCAATACAAAATTAGGGAAAAGATACCTGTCCTGTGTAAACTAAGAATATTTAAAGTATCCAGGGCTCACCTAGAGGCTTTTGATTTTTTAGTTTCTGAATCCTTTCTTCACGTGTAGAGTGATTTTTCTCTCTGACAACATATGTGTGTACTTCTTTTCTTACACCAAAGTTTGTTACCTACTGCTTTCTTCCATCTTTGAGATATTTTCCTGCCTTTTATTTGTTTTTTGGCAGAGAAAATGAATGCTGTCTGAATAGGAAAACTGAACTAATCATGAAGAAAATTAAAATAAGAGAAACCCAGAGCACCTAACCTGAGAAAACAGTTTCTGCTTATTAGCCCTTGTGGCTTAAGAAAATAAATCCTAGTTCAACTAGGGAACCAGTCTTCTTGTTTGCTGGAGGAATCAGGTGTATAATCTTTGATTTTAGTTCTGTAAACACACTGTCTTCTTGGAATCCCAACTTATGACCCACTACCCCTTCTATGGCATGTAGTTGGAAAGCCCTGTGCGTGGCCCTGGACACATAGTCTTAAAGGCCCCAAGACCCCAATACCCACCAATGCCTTGGTGAGTCTGAAATGATGCTAAATTGTCTGTAGATACTGGCAAAGGAGTGTGCCTATTGCTCTGGCTTTGGAGATTACTTCCCTGAGTCTGCTGTTGGCAGGAACAGGAATAAATGCTCTGACTTCCCACTTTGTCTCCAGGTGTCTGATGTGAATGCAGCAGTTCCTGTTGTAGCACTTCCATAGCCAGAAACAGACTCACCCATTGTGGCAGGTGCTGTGGCATCTTTCTCTTGGTTGGAAGCACAGCTTTCCACAAGTCTCTTCCATTGATGTGTCTGGACTGTTTCATGATTTCTAGAGCATTTAGGGGTTTCCTGTATAAAGGAATGGTGTGGTTTCCTCACATATGGGTTTGTGAGTAAGGCCCAGTGACTGTTGCTATGCATTGTGGAACTCATATATGCATATTCTTTGATCTGTATCATGGAGTTTGTGGGTTTACTTGTCAGGGTTAATGGTCAGAATAAATTGTGTATTGTGAAATTATTTGAGTTGCGGGAGATATCAACCCAATCCTTTGGTCATGACCAAGGCCAGGGCAATGACAGTGTCTTTATTTCTTTGTGACTTTCAGTTTATCACACATCTTCCTTTGGGTTCTGCTCTTTGCAACTGAAATCCTTTTTACCAGTTATTAAGCAGAATTGCATCAAGTTTATTTGTTTGGCAGTAAACTATAAATAGTGTCCCGGACAGATTTCCTTCAGTTTCTATTGCTGGGTTTATTTAATGTTGGCCTTCACATGTTATAAAAGGTACAGTTCAACTGAGGACAATGTCTAGAGACAGGTCTGGTTTCAACACCCTGACTCCAGAAAGCTATAGACAGTGTGACATTCCTTTAGGACCCACATTTGATCAGGGATATATTCTGCAGGGAGGTTAAATTTGTGTTCCTTACATTGAAAGTCCTTTTTGTGTCGATATGGATATACAGTCATTTCCTTGAAGCTGGTCTGTCCCTTTTGGGAGGGGTTCCCAGAGACTCTCTTAAGCCCTGGGGAAAGAGAAAGTTTTAACCAGAGGTATCCTCACATATACCCCCTTCTTCCTCAAAAACTCCAATTCCAAATTCACCCTGTATAATACTGAGAAAGGAAAAGCTAATGTGAGACAGATTGCAGTGTCCATCAGGACATTGACATACTAACCTTTATGCTTTGGACCTTTTCTCAAACATTCATTTGATTTATGATTTCTTTGCAGGGGCAGTGTGCATGGGAGTCATGCTCGACAAGAAGTGCTACTGTTTTCATGAGCAGCAGAGACAGGTGATAGCTCTGAAAGCAATGTGACTTGAGGGTGGCTCAATCTACCAATGGAATGCCAAGCAAGGATGATGGTAAGAATTGCAGTGGCTAAGGTGTTGAGGACTTCATGATCTCAGTAGAGCTGTGAGGACCTGTATCTCTTAGGTCCTTGAATGTTGTGTCATGCTTCCCTCCTAAATTGCAATTATATTCAACATACTTGAGAGTGCTTCACTGTATCCTGGGTGTTGAGACCCTTGGAGATCCTCAGCATATCCAGTATTCTATTTGTGTTGACCACCTTGTAGAATCTCTCTTCCAATGAGCTTGAATCAATAATGATTCCTATATAAGCATTCCTTGGAAAGCTGAACAAAATTGGTGAAAACTCACTACTTTTATCCTCCTCATGACTAAGTTCTGGTAGAGTGGGTACAGAAGTACACATTCCTGTTTTTCCCTTTCCTCAGTCACATATGACATCAGCACCTCCTGTATAAGTATCAGTCAGATTGTTTCTTTCTTCAATTTGCTATGCTCAACTGAGAAAGTTCTTGTTTCCAAGGTTCTCTAAGATGCCATGGTGATCCTGTTATGAAAAATCAGATAGCTAAGAAATTAATCATTTTAGCCAGAAAATTGGGGAGCTCACCTTTTATTTATCATTAGCAGTCCCATATGAGCTAATGCTCTGATGTTTTGGGTGCCCACCAAATTTAGTTTGTGGGTTTTACTGAGTTTTACACATCACATAATTTTTAACAACCATTTCATTTGTGGGTTCATACTATAGTTTCCTATAATTTACAACTTAGTTACCTATAAGTTACAAGATAGTGACAAGACAATTTCACGAAAGCCCTTTCATGGCTAAGTAGTTAAAAGTTGACTACAAATAAGGGTCCTGCTCAAGGCCTGTTTCCATTTTCCAAAGACCAAGGAATGAGCCCTTCTGCAGAGGGCCCTACTCTACTATTTGTGAGTTATAGCTACAGTGCTAGTTATTGGAAGGATGGGAAGGGAAGAAGTGACTCTGCTGCTGGCAGTCCCTCTTTCTGCCTGTGCACGTATTGTGGTCCCCAGTTGACTCCTCCCTACCTCATCTGGTTCTGGCTTTCTGAAGACAGGATGCATTAAACCCTAGATGGCCTGTGGGCTTAAGGACTTGGTTGTAATCAACATCAGAACCTTTAGGTCTAATATGAATTGTATACCTGTGTGACAAGGATACCTCTAATATATACATGTGCATATATGTTGAATTGTATTTTGTTTTGAGGCCGTGAAGTCCAGCTCTTTACTTCTGTCCTTGGGATTGTGCGTTCTCTAGTTCCCACTTTTGTGACACAGACAGATTCAAGCTTCCTTAATGATAGTATAGGTAAAAAGATTCTCAGTTATCTGGCAGGGTGATTCCGGGAAGTCACAGTGATGTTTTTATGTTGTGGTTCAAGCACGCATCCCCACCTGTTATGTACCCTGGTTCCTGATATCAGGTGGTTAGCTGTGGGTACCACTTCCCACTGTGCTAGAGATGCTCTCTTTTTTCCAACCAATTCCTGGTTGGAGTAGTTAGAGTGCTTTGTATTGTAGGGCATTTAGTGGTCTAGGACATACAGGAATATGTACAGGGTAACCCAACTCCTGGTGACTTGAGAAAGGGTCAAGGACAGTTGGCATACATTGTAGAAACCATGTACACATAGTGATGGAAGTAGATGATGATTTTGGGGCTTGCATCTTGGGCTTAATGGTCAGAACAAGTTTTTCGGTAGGAAATATTTCTCGGCAGTCACAATAATAAAGGCCTTTGGGTATGGGTAGGGCAAGGCAGTGTCAGTTGTTGACTTGGTTCCTTGTAGTTGTCAGAATATTTTGACATGTTTGCAATGTACTCATTCCCTTGTTATGTACTACTGGTCTAACCAGGATCTTTTGTTTTAGTTGGAAAAGGAATAATACCCACTGCAGTTGGCCCCTTGCTAGTGAACTGCAAACAGGATTCGACTCATACTTGGTGGTGGTGATGCTGCTCTATACCCTTTCTGGTGGTCTATGGTGACCATGGATAAGGTGTTCAGTTAGAGGAATGTCCCGGGCTGAGTCTAGGCATGTCCTGCTGTCACTGTGGCATTTCTTCAAAAGAACCAGTGTTTTATTAGACCATTGTCCATTTAAAGTTCACACCCCTTAGATTGAATGATCATGGTTTAAGGATGTGAGAATGCAAATGTAAGGCTTGAGGCTTGGAATCTGGTCCTTGACTGCTATTCCTAGAGAACCCTTAAGCCCCCAGAGAAGAAAACACCTGAAAGCCCATGTATCACACACATACCCATGCTCCGTCCCACTCCCAGTATTCAGGAGAACTCAATTACAATTGCATTCACATGTTTGGCAAGAATTGAGAGTAACAGAGATAAAGGAGAATCTGATATGACACTGACTGAACACGCTATCATGTGCCTTGTGCCTTGATGTCTCATGTGCCTTGTTTCTTTTCTCAAGTGTGCATTTGGTTTGCATCTTCTTTGCAGGGCTTAGATTCTATGTGTGCATTCCCTAAGATGGACAGGAATTTGTGCACATTTCCTGAAGTACAAAGGCAGGTGATAGTACCTCAAAGCAGCATGGACTAATGGTGACACATTTTTGCTGATGGGTCACTTTGGATAATCATAGGTATTACATTGGCCAAGGTGTGGGGACTTTAGGATCTTGGCAGAAACACAAAGTCCTATATCTCCAAGGTCTAGTGATGTCATGACATGTTCTGTGCCCAGAATACATGCATGGTTTATAGATGTTCATTGAGGGTGTGGCAATGCATTCTCCTACATGCTAAAGGTCTTGGAGTTCCTCAGCATGCCCACTTACTAGCATATGTTGAGCAACTTGTAGCATCTTTAATGTATGTAATAGGTAAGGATTCCCATCTAAATAACACTTGGAAAACCAAACAGAGTGAAAGCTATTACCCTCATTCTCATCATGTCTGGAATCCAACACAGAGGGTCTCAAGGGGACTCTTGGAGTCAGATACATCTTCCTCCCTTTTACATTCTACTGTCATGCAGTATATCAACATTGAGAAGTGTTCCCAGTACAATTGGGGTTGGAAGAATGATGTCAGGTGGATATTTTGCAAGGCCCTGGTTTTATGCTATGTGTTAGTCAGGAGGAAGAGCTTCTGTAGTTCATGTGACTTCTTCCATTCATTTGGAGGCATCTGGAGTATTTTTTTACTTAGCTCACCATGTTCCCCTAAGTCAGCCCTTTATTGTAAAGTTCTTCGGAGGACAAAGCAATCCTTCTTAAAGATAAGCATGCTATAGGAGTAGTTCAGTTTACAAATGACTAGGCTTAGAGTGTGCCCATCACTACCTGCATGGCAGATGCAGAGCTTGGCATATATTCTATCATGGCAGGTAACTTCTAGCCCTCAGGCCTATACACATCTTCCTTAGAGCACAGAATAAGCTCTTAAGGATAGGGCCCAACTCACCTTGGGTTGGTTGTGGTTGGACATGGACAAGGATGATTGGTGAGACAGAAGCACAGTGACCTACTGCAGACAACTTTGTTTTGCCCATATGCACAGTGTGATCCTCAAATGGCCCTCCCTTGGGTTCTGGTTGCCTGCAAATAAGATATATTAATGTCTACCTAACATGTGACCTATGGTCAAGAATCATAGCCATGGGCTTAAAGATGTGGAATGCACTTCTATGGTATAGATTTTCCTGGTTTATATATTTATATGTGTGTATGTTGTAATCATGTAAAGTTTCCTTGGAAAACCTGAACAAAATAAAACTACCATTATTCTCATGGTGATTCAGGTGTATTTTCTTTTTCTGGTCCTGAAGAGAATACAGGAGTGAGACTTATTTCCTGGCATTCATATTGCTTTCACCACACAAGACAGTAGCTTTGGGAAACTTTTCTGCATTAGGAGAACTGAAATTATGTCTTTTCTCATATAGATGTGCATGACTAAGCTACTCCTCCTAACAAGAACCCTTGCCCACATTCCATTCTCACAAAGGTGCCCAGTTTCATCTTATAGGATCAACAGTGCTTGGATATATTGCTGAACACTGTGTTGTAGTCACTTAGTAATGCTTAGGGATCATTTCTAGAGACAGTGTGCAGTGTACCATCTCCATAGCCACTGTGAATTTGTATCTTCAACTGCCCTGTTGTGTGCAGAAAATACTATTTCATTTTAGTCATCCACCATGTCTGGCTATTACCTCCTTTCTACCCCCTCTTCCATGTTGATCCCTGAACTTTGGAAGGAGGGCTGTGATATAGATGTCCCATTTAGGGCCAAGGACTCCACAGTCTCTTATTTTCTACACATTGGATTCTCTGTGTTAATCCCCATCTAATATGTTGACTCAAAAGCATAACTCTCACCTCAAAGGGGATAAGAGATAGTTTATTCTGGAGGCAAATATGAGTGACCATGGCCCGGGAACACAGATTCAGGTTACCCCAAATTCCATGTTTGGCATGGTAACATTGACATTGTGTTTTCATAGTAAGAGAACAAAGAAAATCGTAAATAAAGACACTTTTTTGGGGGGAGGTCTTTTTGAGACAGGGTGTCCCTGTAGCCCCAGCTGTCCTGGAACTCACTATGTAATACAGGCTGGCCTTGAACTCACAGAGATCCACCTGCCTCTGCCTCCTAAGTGCTGGGATTAAAGGCATGGGCCACAACGCCCAGCTAAAGACACCTTTTAAATACACTGGTGGATACATTTGGTAGGCAGATCTTAGCAAAGCTGGGAGCAGGGGGTGTTATACTATAGGTCTCAGATGCTACCTGATGACATTCTTAGTTTTTTGACTGGTAAGACCTGGTGTTCTGCTAAATTAATTCATTTGATTAGTCACAAGAATGTTAATTGAGAAACAGAGGTAGGCAAGGTGTAGCTATTTATGCAGTTAAAGATATGCCCAGATGGTTTGGGAATAGGCCCTGGATCTGCAACATTCAGAACTCTCCATGCTCTCCAGAGTGCTGATCAGTTGTTCAGCCTTGCTGGAAATTCACTCCAAAATGCAGAAGTTCTTTCTGGGAACTTTTCTTTCACAGATACAAAAATAGAACTTAAAATGATAAGTAATTAGGACTCTGTTTAGCACTGTGATTGATCTGCCATAGTATCCACAGCCTGGTTGTACTAAGAGATTGCAATAAGTTGCCAGAGAACATACCTAGATGTGCTGGTTGAAACATTTCAATAAGGGAAGTTAAGAGGAGAGATAAACCTACCAACAGTGGTTTTATCAAAAATATTGGGTTGTGAAAGATTCAGGTCAGCTGTCTGGACTAGCTGCACCTACTCTTTACCACCTTCTCACAAAAAGTTGGAGCTCTCATTTTCTTCCAAGCACTACTGAAGTAGCAGAGTAGGCAGGCAGTACCTCCATGCTTCATGATACCAATAATCTGTATCCTTTCAGCACTGTGCAGGAACATCCTCACGTAGCACTTTTCCTCCCCACTGCACTCAAACTGAGGTGCAATAGGTGGCTGAACCAAGAGCGCCTATTCTCTCCATAGGGCTGCTTGCCACCTTGCTTCCCACAGGGAGGGACTCTATAAGTTAGATTACATAAGCAGTGATGTCTTTAGGTTGGCTTGCTTTGTCCTTTTGGTCAGAATTCTTCGAGAAGTAACTGACGGTATTTACAGGAGGCATTTCTCTCTGCAGAGTAAGCTCTTGTTCAGGTCTCAGTGTATGTGGGAAGAGCTGAGCTTACAGGTACCTTCTGGACCTCGTCCATTGCTTCTTTGTCCTGAAGAGAGCCTTGGGAAGATAAGATGTTCAAGGGCAAGGTAGCAAGGCAGTTGATGCTGATCTTTCTGTTTTTCCCAGTCATACATATACCTGTACATTTTCCTGTAAAGATGTCTCTTTTTAAAATTGGTTAAGGTATAAATAAATTTAGTTTTCCACTGGAATTGTTAGGAGCTTTTGTTACATTAACTGGATATTAATAGACCATGTTTTAGATGTTTTGTATAGACTGGTGAAGATGTTATGACATTTAGACTTCATGTACCAGAAATATGTTAATGTATTAAATTATATATTAATGTTATATGTGAATATAAATATTAGACAGGCACTACCTGTTCATTAGACCTTATAGGAGAATGCCTGTATATATTTGGACATGTGGTGTAGAACTTAGCAAACATTTTCCTTTCCAAGTCTACACATGGTGCAGAAAACCATACCTCGTGGGTGTTTTACTACATTGCATGTGTGTGTCTCTCTGTATATAGCTTATATGAACATATATATGCAACTGTATATTTTTTTTCTTAAAATACTATTTTTCCTCTTTTTTCCTGTCAGATGAATGTTGATAGAGTCCAAAATGAAAGGGAAGTTTATGCCCTGGTCCTAACTATAAAATGTTGATTCTACTGAATGATTTGACAACCTTCTTCCAAAGTCTTCATTCTTATCTGCAGTGTTGGACTTCTGCAAGGTATGGTGACATATGGGCAACGACCTGCATGTTTACAGGAAAGGGACTGAGGATGCATAGGAATCAGCAGACTGTATTCTTAAGCTTGATGTCCTTTAATTGCAGTCAGATAGCTTTTAAAATGTCCATAATCCAGATGAGTATAGTTAGCCATGGAGAATAAGATCTTCCTGAATTAAGAGGTTCTTCCTTGACTTCATCATCCTCTATCAAAGCATTAGGTCTAAGTTCATTGTTTGCATGACTCATTGAGTGAACTTTTAATTATTTCTGTTCACATATTTTATATTTATGTTTTGTGCCACATGCATCTTTTTAAATTTTTTATCATAGAATATGTTTTCAGTAAATTTTTCTTGAGAATTAGATAAAAGGGTAGATTATTGAGTTACTTTGTGAATAACCTCTTCTACTAAGTATGAATGATTTTTAAGAAAGTAAGGGACAGCTGGGCATGGTTGGCATATACCTTTAATCCCAGCACTCAGGAGGTAGAGGCAGGTAGATTTCTGTTAGATTGAGGCCAGCCTGGTCTATATAGGCAGGCTGCAGCAAGGCACTGTCTCAATGATTAATAATAATAATTAATAATAATAAAGTAAGAGATAATTTCCTGTGAGATGCAGGTGATCTACTCACCTTTGAAAATGAATAAGAGCAAAAGGCCCTTTTCTGAAATGTGGAGAAGTTGAATCACTAATTATGGCTTCAGGGCTATATAGTAAGAAGCAGTTTCTGAATGAAATCAAAATAATAGAGAAGAAAAGAGGAATGCTCAGGTTTTATGTGCATTTGCCTTTGTCATGGGAAGTGATATGTCTCTTTGCTTTCCACCTCAGAATATGACTGACTGGGGACCTCTTCAGAGAGTGACTGATGGCAGGAATTTTCTCCAAACCAAGAGCTTTTCACTAGATATCCAAGAGCCAGCTTATGATGGTAAAATTTTGGTTAATACAGTCTTGGCTTTCTAAAAGCCCTGTTGTTTTAGAAAATGAAATTTTAATTTCCTGAAATTGATAACTTTGGGATACATTCTGCTTGACTCCAGTGGCCAAACTGCATAGTGGGTTAAAAATACAGCTTTTCTTACATGTGTTTGTATCTTTTCTGCATCTCAGTACATGTTCTGTCAATATGAAGAATTTCCTTCACTTTCCTGCTCTTAACAAATAGACCAAGCTCCTTCCAAGGCTGGTCCATCATATGGCTAGAGAATACTTGTATGCAAGAGACACAATATATTCCCAGGAAGGCTAAGACTAGAGGCCTGACAAATTATTCAGTTTTAGCTGAAACAATTTATCAAAAACACAAGTACCCTAGAGCTTTAAGCTGCAAAACACAAACACAAAGAGGGAGAAGAAAACACAAAATCCAAAGTTACTAGAGAAAACCTGTTCCTTGTGCCATGGAAAAGAAGAAAAGTGGCACCAGTATTTGTCTCTTTGTTAGGACGATTTAAGGTCATTTTTTGGACTCAAGCTTGTGGGAACGTGACTTCCTCTTTGTGCTTGAGCACATTTGTTCTTGCATACAAAAACACAATAGTAAAGTATTTTCCAGCCCCCTGACTCTGCCACTTCTCCCTCTGTGTCCTGGCAGATGATGCCTACAGCGATGAGCTGGATTTATTATGGATGGTGCCATCATTTCTACCAGCAGCTTCACCAGCACAGCCTTCTTCTTTCCTGTATGGCAGTGGACACCTCCTGCAGATAAGAAATACTTAACTGAGAAATGCTCGTGTTGGGCTGTCATCGATGAGACTTTAATTTGGGCATGGTTTTCCCTTGCTGCCACTTGACTCAATCCAAGGAGCCTCAGTAGAGGAAATAATATTATACAAGAAGCTCAAAATGGTGGAATTGCTCAGTCAGTGCTCCTATAAATACACATTTATAATTTTTATTCGCCATATGATCCTTTTTAAATATGACATATTGAAAAGAAACTGCATGAATTTTTTTCAAAAATTCAAAGCATATTTAAATAATTAATATATAAATTATGTGCCTCCTCTATTTCAAGATTATATCCCAAAAGTTTCCCTTCTCTAAAGGGAGGCATGTACATTTTTTGCACCCATGTACACTCTATTCTGGGGAGCAGTTCTAAAATTGGGGCCATATTGTAACATATTCTTCTGAAAATTGCTGCTTTCTTTTAAGAGTCTTATCAATGAGCCTTTTCTCTTTCAGTAATACATTCATATCTGTGTCATTTGTTGAATGACTGCATGAGAGTTTTGTAGATGGAATATAATTCAGTGTCATTTGTTGAATGACTGCATGAGAGTTTTGTAGATGGAATATAATTCAGTGTCATTTGTTGAATGACTGCATGAGAGTTTTGTAGATGGAATATAATTCAGTGTTTTAAGCATTTCTCATTAATAGGCATTTGTGTTAGTACCAAATTTCTGTACAATGAACTTCCCTATATATCAACAATTCTGCATTTGTCTATTCTATTTTAATAAAATTACCTAGCACTTAAATTATTGGAATTAAGCATATTAACACTTCAAATTTTGAAAATCATCACGATTCCTTTTAAAATGTGCTTTAACAGCCACATCCTCGATAGCAATGAATCAGATTGCCAATTTCTTCACAGTCCCCATATGAGTTTTACAAGTATTTGAAATTCTTTCCAATGTGATACCCCAAACTATTGTCTTAAATTGTATTTTTTATTTTGATCATTTTTCATGTTTATTAGCCATCTGTATTTTTTAATTTCGTCTTCATGTCCAATTTTGGGAATATGGGGAGGCTTTAGTCCTTTTAAAGACCATGTTTACAATTGTGGAAAAATAAGCTTTTGTATTATCAAGCATTACATATGTTTTAAACTTCGTTTTTGTTATAAGAATGTGTATGATTGTTATATGTCCAAGTTTAACCATGTTTGCTTTTATGGCTTCTGAATTTCATGTCATTTTTGGAGAAAAATTATACTGAGTCCATAAAACCCTTCACCTATGTTAACTCTTAATTCTTTTGTGTTTTTTTATTCAAATTCGTATATCATTAGAAAATTTTGTTTTGAAGTCTTAAAGTTGCCAAGTTATTTGCCATTACTTATGATTATTTGCCAACAATTGCCCATTTCTCTGTAATACCATCTTGCACATATGCTGTATTCTCATCCGTGACTGGCTCCATTTGTTCTGTGGATATGTGTGTCTCTTCTGCCTCCTGTCTCATGTGTTGTCTTATTTGAAGAAATTACAGTTTAGACTGCAATTTCATGTGCTTTAATAAATTAATTTGGGGAGAATTGTTTTTAGGTAATAAGTTTTCATAATCAATAATAAGGCATACTATTTTATTAAAAATTAATTGCTGTTAATATTATCACTGTGATGTCGGGTTTTTCTTTTATTTTCTTTGCTTGTTCATCTTTCTGTATCTGAAAGTAGTTTTAGATTTTGTTTTGTTTGTGGGGGGGATATGTCACCACCTTACTGTTTCTCATTGTTTTCAGAATTTACCCAAAATCCTTTGCAAATATTGATTATATTTTTTGCCCCCATCCAATTGGTCCTGATACTTGGTTATGTTGATAAACTCCAGAGACTGGTACTTTCAGAGCACTTAAACAATTGTAGAACTATTACCCACCCTTGATTTTATATAGGTTTAAATGGAACGCTTCTTGGGTTGGAATAGCACATTGTTGCTGGTCTGTGTTCCCAAAAGACCACCTGAAAGAGCTATGGCCGAGCAAAGTTGAGTTTATTACACTTACTGCAGCAAGGGAAAACAGCACCTTGATAGGGTTTAGTAGTGTTTAAAGGCAAGAAATGAAGGTTTTGGGGTCTGGGCTTCTTGTGTTTTAAAACAGGGAACTGTTTAGGAATGGGCAAATTTCAGCATGCAATTCTTAAAATTGATGGGGGTATGGTGAGGTCTTAATGTGGATATTAATTATCAAGTTATTATTTAAGTGAGCTGTTTGCCTAAGTAAGATGTTATTGACAAAAGAGCTATTTGCCTACATGAGCAAATGGAATTTATCAGTTTACAGTTTTGTCTTGCTGAGCAGGACTCCACTAGGGATCAGGTTTTATTCCTAATAGGTAAGTTATTTTGATGTGAATGGTTGTAAGTGTCAAGGTGAGCTTCTAATTTTAACTTTAAGAAGTTTGGTATATTATGTTAGAAAAGGTTTTCATTTTTTGTATTTTCTGAAGACTTATAATCAAAGCTAGGTGGAAGATATACCACTGCTTTTTGCACACTTGTGCTAGTCTTCTTATAATTATTTATTGCTGTGGAAGTATTCATTTTCTATTATTGCAACTTTTTAAATTTCAAAAAGGTTTTTTAAATCTCTGTTTTTTAAAAATGGCTTTTAAAAATTTACTGCTGAATTATAGTAATTTTAATTTGATTTGGATTTTTTAAGCATATATAACTACATAAAATTACTTTGATTGATTTTCTTCTTAACTATATTTTTATCATGTTTTGATGTTAGAATTTCTGTTTGTGTTAAAGAAATTTAGAGAACTTTCTTTCTGCACAGTGTTCAACCAGTTGTTATTAGAGTTAAAGGAACATGTTGGGTGAAATCATTTGCAGCACTTTGGTGGTTGGAATGTTGGAATGGAAATAAGGTTTTCTAGGTTCTTTTTTAAAATTTCTTAAAACAGTTATAATTTGTTTTGTACCTGGTTGTTATTTTTAATGCTTTCTTACCAGGTATTACAATCCATGCAGGTTTTCCATCATACGAGCATGAAATTTGCATTATTTCTGCTGTGCCTTTTTAAATTAATAAGTTAGACAAACGGGTCTTTAAAATTACAGGCCCCCCACTTCTTTCCCCCAGTCATGGTTTCTGTATAAATTTTCAATGTTTTTGAATGTCCCAATTTATATTCATAAATTTTCTCCGTATGTCTTCGCTTCTTTTCCTAGTAAATGTGAAAACATTTATATTTGTTTTCTCTTGTTCTTGTTAATGAAAGATGTACTATCTTATCTACTTTATAAATTAGAAGTTTGCAGAGCATGAATGGAAAGGACAGTGAAGTTGTATAAAGGTGAGAAATAACTATCTTATTTCTTGCTGAACCAAGAGCTAAAGGAGCCTATGTTCCATCATTTTCAATCTTTCCTGTGTGTTTTTCAAAACATGTTATTTTGTTATTCATGTTATTCAAAAAATATTTTAAAATGAGGTCCTGGATTTATGGCTTAGTCTCTGAGGACCTGAAGTCAGTACCAGAACTCATTTTTAAAAAACTGAACATGGTGGCATGTCCTAATAATCCCAGTGTTACAGATGTATAAACAGATAGATCCCTAGCCAGAAAGCCCCACCTGATCAGTAAGCTCCAGACCAATAAGAGACTTTATCTCAGAACAAACTACCACCACCACAACAAAAAACAAACAAGGTGCTGAAGAATAATTCCCACACTTGACTTCTGATTTCTGACTGTACACACACACACACACACACACACACACACACACACACAAATATGTTAAAATGAGCCATGTAACTCATAATAACTTTCCCCATAAACATTTTAAATGTATTTATTTGTAGAGTTATTCATTTATTTTGGGGTGGAGAGGGACATAATTGTGCCACAGTGCACATTTGGAAGTCAGAGGACAATTTGTATTCAGTTCTCTCCTTCTAACATGTGAGTTCTGGGGATTAAGCACAGATCATCAGGCTTGTCAACAAGCACATGTACCTTCTGAGCCATCTTTCCGATCCTTTCAAAAAGTATTTTAACTCATAGTGTAATTCTAGATTCTCTGACTCTCCTTGTTTCTCTTCCCTAGAGACAACTAGTGTTATCAGTTCTCTCTCTCTCTCTCTCTCTCTCTCTCTCTCTCTCTCTCTCTCTCTCTCTCTCTCTCTCCACTCAAGATGTATGTATATAAATGCACAGTATTCTGTAACTTTCTTTTATATATTAAAGCAATGTATAAATGTTTTAGTATTTCCACCAGATTATTATGTCAGCATGCAAGGAGCTTCTAATCTTATTTAATAATTTATATCTTTACATAGGCAAAATTTACATAGTTAAGTGTATATATCCTAACTATATATTTTCTTAAAATAAACAAAACCTCACTGAAGAGATAGGATGATTTATTACTACTGAAGAAGCTATCTCAATACCTCTTTCCAAGAAGGCAAATTCTCACAGAAAGCAGTTCTCTAGCTTCTATGAGAATAGATTAGTTTTTCCTATTTTTAAAATGTATATGAGTAAGGAGAGTAATCACAGTATGTGTATGGCTTCTTACACTCATAGTGGTGTTGATGTTCATCTATACCATTCTCTATATCAGTAGGCTTTAAAATCTTTTTATACTTTCAATGTAATATTACATTGAATGGACATATTGCAGCTTCTTTATTCAGCATCCAATTGATACATATCTGATCTGTTTCTAGTTTTCAGCTATTTTTAATGTTATTATATTTCTGATACAATTGACTAAAAGTTAAATTGCTTGATAGATTTTTGCTTAATTTTCTTAAGAAGCTGCAATGAGCCTTCTACAGTTGTTCTCTGTATTATTAGTTATTTTTCTGTTGCTATGACAGAAACACCATGACCAAGGGAATTTATAAAAGGAAGAGTTTGTGTAGCTTATGGTTCCAAAGGGGAAAGAATCAGTCCATCATGGCAGGAGGGCATGGTGATAGAGGTGGCTGGAGGAGAAGCAGAAGCTAAGCTCTCACATCTTCAAACAAGCACAGGAAACAAGAGAGTAACTAAAGAGCTGCCAAGGTTTAAGAACTCTCTAAGCCTACCCCCAGTGACATGCTTCCTCCAGCATGGTCACACCGTATAAGACCTCCAAAAACAGCACCACCAACTGGGAACAAAACGTCCAGATACTTAGAGCCTATGGGGGACATTCTCATTCAAACCACCACATTCCTCTCCCCAACCAAGAATTTATAAAATTTCCATGATCCATTGTCATCAACATTAGAAACTGTCAGTCTTTTAAACCTTATTTATTACTCTTTATTTGTGGATTTTTAAGACAGGCTCTCACTATATAGCTCAGTTGTGCTGGAACATGCAACAATCCCAGCACTCAGGGAGGCAGAGGCATGTGAATCATTAGTGCAAGGTCAGTGCAAGTTAAATCTTGTCCATATCAGTGGTTGTCAGATAGTATTTTATTATAATTTTAATTTGAAATTTGGTAAGTAGGTAAACAACTTTTCTTGAGAATACCAATTGTAAATCTTCAGTAAAATGTATGGGATTATTATCCCCATTTTTTAATTTATAAGGTACTTACAGACTTACAGGAAGCTTACAAAAATCATAGAATTATTTCATGTTTATAATTTTAATTTCAAAATATATTTTATTCTTTGAAGATTTCATATATTTACACAATGTTTTTGGTCATATTCATCTACTACTACCTCCCTCCCACCCTCCCTGATGCCCCACCACATCTCCGAACTTCATGTCCTCTTTTTAAAAACTGTTGTTGATAACCCAAGTCCAGTTAGGACTGCCATTATGCACATGGCTATGGGGCCACGCACTGATACATGGACAATCTACCATATCACCAAAGGAGAGTGACTCTCACTGCCTGAAAAGTCATTAGTTTCCAATAGCTCCTCCGCTGGGGTGTGGCATCGGAAATCCCTTCCTCATCCATGCTAGACTTTCAATGACTTGATCTTGTGCAGGTTTCATACTGGTAGCTGTGAGCTGATTATGTGCAATAGTCATATCATGTCCAGAACTCAGCATTACACATTTCTTTGTCTTCCCATCTACTAGCTCTTGCATTCTTTCTACCCCCTCTTCCTTGAGGTTCCCTGAGCTTTGAATGGGTGAAAGTTGATGGTATAGATAACCCATCCACAGCTGAGCACTCACAATTACTATATTCAATACTTTGGCCAGTTATGAGTCTCTATATTAAGCACTACTGGTGCAAAAAGGGTTATATGCCAAAAAATTAAAACAGAACATATCTATGGATACAAGCAAATATTAAGGAGGCAGTTTGATGATAGCATGACCATTTATAAAACAACAGTCGGTTCCCTGCTAGGACCTATGATCTCTTAAAAAAATGATTTTTTTTGTCTTTTTGAGACAGGGTCTCCCTGTAGCCCCAGCTGTCCTGGAACTCACTATGTAGACCAGGCTGGCCTTGAACTCACAAAGATCTGCCTGCCCCTGCCTCCTAGAGGCAGGTATACCAATCTGTTCCTTTGATACAGGGGTTCATGCTGCTCAGGGTGGCCTTGAACTAACTGTATAGCTGGGAATGACATTGAATCATCCTGATCCTCCTGTGCCAAATCTCCCAAGTGA